GGTTTCTTCCTGTTAAAAGGGAGTTTTTCCTTCCCACTGTCGCCAAAGTGCTTGCTCATAGGGGGTCATATGATTGTTGGGCTTTTCTCTGTATCTACTATACAATATAAAGCGCCTTGAGGCAACTTTTGTTGTGATGTGGCGCTATATAAATAAAATTGAATTGAATTGAATTGAAAAACTGTATTGTGTGAAGCACATGCAATCAGCATGGTCCTTTACTGTCTTATATTGCTGTTGCTGCATTCCTCACATTTGTACTCAGTTTTCACTGGCTTCGTCTTGTGCCAGAACCAATCTTGGAATAGGAGCTAAAAAAGGAGCCTCTCTCTATGGGTTATTAATAATACCTTAATGATGTTAATTTTTAAATTAGGGTTATGCAAATGGGAAAAGCAAACAAACAAAAACATACAGTAAAAAATTAATAATAGTAATGTCAAATATAATAACTGTAAGGGCCCATGAACAGACAGCAGTTCCCGTCTGCCAGGCTGTGACTGGCTGACAGGGCAGAGCACCTCTGAAATATAGTTTGGAGTCTGGCCACAACAAGCCTTAAATGTAATCCATAAAATCAGTCCTAAAACAAATTTGTAAGCAGTGTACTGATGCTGTAATGTGATTCCCTGCTCCAACAATTAGTTGAAGTCCGCTGAGTAATTTCTGACTAATAAAAGTCCTGTGTTGTAATCCAGTCGTGATGAGACAGAGAATTGAGAAGCAACACAAATCTGGTTAAATCGTGGTATTTTTAGATGGCGAAAAGAGGAGAGTTTACTGATGTGAAGACTGAATCCAGAATCAAAAAGTACCCCCGCGCGTCTTACCACGGCCTTGATGTTGTTAGTGAGATTCGAATTGATCTGAGCGCGCAGGCTGCCCAGACAAATAAGAGAAATGTCAGCTTCAGACATGCAGAAAGCATAGCTTTTCACCCATGCAAGCAGTATAATTAAGGCTTTACTTCTCTATAATATGAAATAATTACCTTGTAACCTAATAATTCCATGTTGGAGGACAATAGGCTGCATGTAACTTATGAAGGTCTCCAGTGTCTCTTAACATTAACGCTTTAAACAGTCAAATAAATATGTCCACACGTCACAAAACACAAGTGCAATTACATCCACCAGATATCACAATCACTGTGACTGTTACAATAACCTGCTAATCCCAGAGAGGAGCCATGACCCACTGGGTTGAAGTTTCAGCATTTTGTGGCCTAAATCAAAAGCTAACATGGATTTCACATAGTTCAGAATGAATATGTCCCTTCGGCTACCCCAAATGTATATTTTTGGACATTTTCATCTTGCTTTTGATTAAAGGTGTTGAGACCATAGACATAGCTCATTTTTTTTAGAATCCAACATGTTTCAACTCTAGGCAAAATGATGCACTTACAGCAATCTTCATGTTACTGTAGGTGTAATGAAAGGTTCCCAAGTCCTTCTAATTTCTACCTTATATCAGGGTTGCCAGCTTTCGTGTGGAGTCAGTTTTTTTTTTTACTTTACAAAGTCTTGAGGTGAAAGTGTAAATATATGTAAAGATGTTTGCAATTTGCTTGCTTTGGAGACATACTCTATGGATTTAATAAACTCAAACAGCTGGAAACAACAAAAACAGGTTCAGTTCCTGTTAATGTTTGGTCAAATGGGGACAAGGCTCAGCAGAGAAACTCATTAATCGTCTCTCACTGAGAGGTTGTGCGCCTCAAGCAAATCAAACACTGTTTTCAGTTCTCTAGTGTTTGCGTACCAGCAGATACACCAAAGCTGATGGTAAGACTAAGAAAGAAATTGAAATAAAGCAGTGGCTTTGATTCTTCCCATTATCTGGTGTGAGATTTATTTTGGGTGTGAGTCATGTGTCATAGGCCAGAAGCCTGAGAGCTGGTAACACTGCCCATATCATGTGTTTCATAATGAGAATGAAAGTGAGGGAGAGAGACGGAGAAGTCAAAGGATTGACGATGCCTTCTGTCGTGACAGCTCAGCAGTTCATGTTTTGCCGTTGAGTTAAAAACTTTTGCAAAAGAAAGGTTACAGAGAAAGGTTTTTGGTGTAGCAGGAGGGAAATGCTGACTGTTTGTTTTCAACTGCCTTTGCTAAGCAGTCTCCTGCTAGCAACTGTTGCACTGCACAGAAAAAAAAAAACAGGACACAAAATTGTGTAAACTCGCTCTCAAGGATTGTTTTTGTGTCAAGGTTAGACTGATCTCCAAACTTCTGACCTGTGCTTTCCTTCAAAATATCTGGAAACGACTATTTTTAAAGCTAATTTGAGATTTTATATGTTTTGTGAAACATATAAAATCTCAAATTCAAATACATATACATTTAAAGCAAAACAAAACATTTTTTTTTTCCCACACACATCATCCACCAACAGGAGGACGTCTCTGCCCTCTGTCTCTGCTCTCTCTGCAGTACCGACTTATACTGAGTGGTACGTTTGTGCTTTTTGTTTTTTCATGCTAGCTCTTTTGTGAAACAGGACATTATTACATCTGGATAAGAAGATTGCATATAGGTCTGTGGCGTTTCCCACATAGTACCTATTAAGCAAAGTGTATCAGGATCATGTCTCACTCACTCTCTCCAAACAATGTAAAGATATGTTGATTTAAGTCAGACGTTGCGATACGACTGATAGCAGCTCGCCCTCCTGCACTGACTTTTAATATTGTTTCTTTAATGTTTTAACATCAGTTAAAAACTGATTTAACCACTGTGCTGCGGCGTGTGTGCCGTGAAAAATGATCAGGTAAGCCATGGAAGATTATCTGGTTCCACCTGATTAGTACTGTAAGCGACTAGTGTGAGTGAAGGGGAGAACAATTACATTCTCTTGCACAAGAGGGCACTACAACTACCTGCTCTAATTAAATAGGTGCCAACTGCCAGAAAAACCGAAGAAGACTAAGAAGAAATGACATAATAGTGAGACAACGCAGTGCTTAATAGCAATAAATAAATATTTGAAATGAAAAAGTAGTCAATCTGACCCGGGTCCTGGAAAAAACTCCAACCCAGATGAAGTCCCTAGCATGAGTAGTGGTCAGAAGAAAGCAAAAAAGGTATACTGGGGACAAATGGAGCCAATTCCGCTGCGCCTGGTCCGTGGGGAAAAATTATCAATATGCTTTTTGTGACATTTTTGTTTGGTGGTGTGCTGTGTGATTTGTCTAATGTGAAATATGTGCCGTGGCTCCAAAAGGTTGGGAAACACTGGTCTGAAGGACAGTATGTAATTTATGCTACAGTCAAAATAGGGAATATTGGTTTGAGACCATGGCACAACCAAAATTACTGTGCACTGCCTTGTTGCCTTTTAAATAGTTGCTTCAAAAGCAGGGATCTGATCTGTGACCACTTGCTGACAGTTACCAATTTTAAAGCAACTTTTAATTTTCAACCCTTGCTGAACCCCAATTTCCCACTTTACTGAGGCATTAGCCCAGGATTCTGCTGGTTCACCTCATGCTACATTTTCTTTTCCCCTGAACCTCATCCTTTCTGGTCTCTTTGACAGCCCACAGCCTCATAATTGAAAGATTGTTTTTCATATGCGTAAATTTTCAATATCTTTGGAGTCAAAGCTACTGTTTGTGTGTATTTGTGTATTTCTTCAGAGGAAGGAAGTCACCTCTCCCCATGTTATCTAACAGCCAAGATTCATTGAGAGGGAGGGAGTTGCATAAACTCCATTAAACTTTCCTTCACATTTAGTCAGTGAGTTTGCACTTTAAGCCTTTATAATGTGAGTGTGCAAAAAGTCAAAGTAAAACATGCCAGGAAAACTAATAAACATTTGTCTTTTCACCTGAATTTTTTTTTTCTTTCACTGTCTTTAACAAAACAGAATTTACAATTAAACTGAATTTGCAGTGGTTTCACCTGCTTACTTGATCACACACCCCAAGATAAAAACGTTTAAGTTCCCCAGTGTGAATAAACAAGAGACAGTGAAAACTAAGAAAGTGTTTTCGGATCAGTTCATTTGGACACATAAATCTACCGCAGTAATTCCTCTGATGCAGACAAAAAAACAGTCAGTTGCTAATTACACATCTTATTTAATTAGAAGTTGCAATGGTCTGCCTTCCTACTCACCTGCATGGAAAAGAACAGCAGGTCGTTTCCAGAACCATGCCGAGATTTCAGCTTGCACCCATCAGCGAAGCGTTGGGAGCTGGGATCTGCTTCGACTGGAGCACAGCTGCTGCACAACTAATGAAAGGCTTTCACTTTTGCAGCTTCCACAGTGTTTTCCTTCAGAGACCAAAAAAGATCCCTTACAAGCTCACAGGCATATTAACTACCAGGTTATGTGTATAAATCTGAAGAATATAAACTTTCATATTATTTGCCTTAATAAATGCAACATGGAGTCTTATAAAAGCCTTTATTTAATCTCAAGTAATGGAAAAGAAGAAAGCAATCAAAAATGCAATATTTGTTCTCAATATACACTTCTGCTGCTTCTATAGTACATCTGCTCTCCTTCATGTTCAAGTAATAGAAAATAGAATGATCTGCAGCCTCCTGCCAGTACTGTCAGAGACAAATAACTGCACATTACACATCAACAGAAGTAACATTCACTTGGGAATGCAAGCAGCCCATATCTTCTCTCTGTATAGTTGCTTTATCTTTCCTCATTGTACAATAAGATCTGTTGGTCTCTTGTAAGAAAATATGTCTAATTCTGTAAAGAGCACTACACACTCTGATCATTAATTCCCCTAATCTGCTTTGCTAGAGGGAGAGCAATATGATCTAAATGAGTCATCACACTGTAAACTCATCGAGGTCCTCACGATGACGTGGCTGCTGCAGTGCCAGACAGTACATCCAAACGTTAACACCTTATTCAGAAGTGCACAACAGCTGAAAATACAAGAGGAACATTCATAATTAGAGCCTGCAATGAACCCAAGAAGAGAGGGTCCGGGTCCAGACAAGCATGTCAGCATTTATTCCATCTGCAGTTGGCAATTTTGGGACAGTTTGAGTCTCGTGTAAATGAGGAGTTTAACACAAACCACTCAGCTTCGTGATTTGCAATGTCTTATAAAAATCACTCTGGCAATCACAGCCAACCACCTGATTGTTTTGCACATTTCTGGAAAGCATTTTCCCAAGTTTGTGCCTAATGTATGAGCACTCAAACAACTTGGAGTGACAGCAGGCAGGATAATACAGAGGGGTTTGCTTTGGCCTCGCACTGTAGAGCTTCATGGTTAAAGAACTGACAGCTTCATTGTTGATATTCAGTATTAGCCAATAGTAACAGTACCAGTAACAGAGAAACAAGTGGTAAGAGGGGATTCAATGCCACACTGACTCTGTACTGGTGCCAACAGTCCTGCTAACATTTCAGGTGTTTCTTGCTGGTCATGTCGTTCCAGATGCGGTGCATCTCCTCAGGGGAGATCTGGTGGACGGTGACCACCCTGCGGTAGCGACAGAGGCTGTAGGCCATCTTCCAGTGGTTGAAGCCACTGTTCTGGAAAGGGTGAATTCCTAACTTCCGGAGGCACACACCAACGTACACGTCCTCCAAGTGCAGCAGCCTGGTGTGTAAGGAGGTTTTGTAGATGAGTTCAGCCACGTCTGCTGAAAAAACGTAGCCGGTGCCAGAGCAGAACGGGGGGTACTTGCTCTCTGGGTACAGATCCCTGGGCATGTACCACTTGCTGCGCATGTCTCTGATTGGCCCACCGTTGATGACATAACCAGTGAAGTACCTCCTTCGGGGCTTTGTGGTAGGCTTCAGGAGGCTAAAGATGAGGTTCTCCATGTTGACAAAGATGTCACTGTCTGTCTTGAGGACATATTGAGCTTTAGAGCAGAAGGTGGCCACCCAGCGCATGCCCATAAGAGTCTTGAGCGTCAGGTTGTGGTATGAGTCAATAAAATCCTCCACTATAATGTCATGAAAGATCTGACTTTCCTGCTCCACCATCTGGTTGAGGACGACATCAGTGCTTCGGCCTAACAGGAAGAGCGTGACCACGCGCACATCCTGAAACGTGCTCTCATCCCCCCATGTCTCTCTGATGGCTTGACGGGCATCAAATTCCTTGTGAGTGGTGCTGATGAGGATGACAAGGAACGGGGGCTCCGACTCACACTTCTTGTCCTCGTTAATGAGGTAGCCAAAGTCGTGTGGGTTGACAGAGCGCGTGCGGATGTTGCTGAATGTGGAGTTCTTGTTCACCTTGAGTGTATTGCGTATTGGGATGTTCACCTGGCCCACGTAGGAAGTAGAGGGGCGGGAAACACTCAGGTACCACAAAGCGCTGGCCCAGCATACCACTGTCAGCAAGTATAAGCAGGAAACCTTAGAAGGCATCTCTGTTCACTTGGCTGGTATTACCAGTGGCAACAGGGTTGGAAATGTTGAAGCCACGCCTCCATGGGTTGTTAGAGCTTGCAGCGCAGCGGGAGGCTGCCTCCGCAACGCAGCTGACATTAATTTCAAGACTTCTCTGTAGTCTAGTGCTGCTATTGTGATTAAAAAGCAGAATGGAAGAGATTTCTCATCATGTCCATGCCCTTACTGTGTCCCATCGCAGCTCACAGGACGACTTTCAACTCTTTCTGACAGCATCTAAAAAAAGATGAGAAAAACAGACATAAATCAGAACCACATAATGAAACAGCAGGAGTGAGACAAGGTGAGACATCTAGCATCCTGTGTCTTACATTTTTGAAAAGGCCAGATGTGTGACTTATTTAGCAGCAATTTTTTATTCTCTATTCATTATAGCCTATAACATCAACTCAGCGATTGTGCAAGCAGAAACGTGCCACAGCACATCATTCCATCGCTGCCTCTGACGAGAGGCGCCGTGAGCTGAAGAAAGTGAATATCCCACGAAACACTACCCTACTTTGCCTCAACTCTGACCAGCTTCTGTTTGCAAACACTTTATCTCCCTCTCATCCCAGTGAACTAGACACAGACTGACGAATCAGAGCAGTCACGGCGGAGGAGGAGGAGACAGGGTGATATTAAGGCAGAGAAGGTGTAATGAGCTCACGGTAAAAATGTAACCTCATTCCCATGGTTGTATTCACCATTCCCTCCCCAGCTACCCTTTCCACACCTTAATGTCACCACCAACTTAGCAGCTTGATTTTGCCCTGTAATGAGCTTCGTTAGTTGGATGTTGTGGAACTCTTTTAAGAATACACGCTGTAATTGGGCACGCTGACATGGGCTATAAGGATGAATATAACATGGAATATTTATTTGGATGCCAGAATTCATTCAAAGAAAACCAGATTAAAACCTAATCCTTCACAAACAGACTTATTTGATCCAGGTGTAATCTCTTACGATATCGAAACAACCTTCTTCTGTTTTTATTATGAGGAAACACATTTTTGTGTTGTGCATAACTCATGACGAACCAGAGAAAGTGCTACAGATCCTATTAGAGATGCTTCTTGCGCTCTGTTTTAAGATGGAAGTCCTACGATAAGAGCAGCTTATTCTTTTATCAAGCCAAGATTTTGCAATGTCTTGTGGGGCCTGATGGTTCTTTTCATCAGGACTTTTCTCTTATTCCCTCTCCACCCTCCCCCTATCTCTTTTCTCTCTTTCTTAAGCAGAGCCATCAATCTCACGGTCCAGTAGAATCCATCTCATCATGACTGCTTTTCCACACCTCCTCACTCTCCATCCACTCAATCACTCTTTCCTCTACTTCCGTGGGTGCTTGATCCATCTTTATATGTCTCACTGCCTCCCGCTCTCGCCTTTTTATTATTATTTTTGGTCTGGTTTCACGTTTCCTACACCATCTTGTTTCTTTCCTCACATCAACCATGAACCTTTACCTTCTCTGCATATCATTATTTTTGGTGCGGTGCAATATTTATCACATCAGAGCTCAACTCCACCTAATTGGCAGCTTCTACTGCAATCGGTCTACCTAAAGCCACTCAAGTTCCACAGTCTCCTCCCTCCCACTCAGACAAAGTCACTACATCATCATATTTATGCCCTTGCCACGACCTCGCTCACCCTTCTTCCCTCTCCTCCCTCCCCCATCCACGTCGGTTTCTTTTCACCTTGAGGAAGCTCTGTTGGTTTCATAATCCTCCAGAATGACTTTATGCTCACAATAACAGATATCCCACTTTAGCGATTCAGCTCACGAAATCCTGACACTTAACTTCCCCTCAGAGTAAACTGAATGATGGCTGTATCGTTTCATGATGCTATGCGACATAAAATTACATTAGCATCTGAATACACTCTTTCCCAAATTATCTTACCCTTCTAAAGCAGTATTGGGTGCTTGGGATCACAGTAATTAACTGTGATGATCATTAACACCAGTGTCAGTGTTAATTTGTGGTTAGCAAGAGGTAATATTGAATGGCAAAAACAGCTCACGCAGTTTACTGATACAACCAACTTATTACCAGACAAAGAATGTTGGATGATAATAGTAGCAGTCACAAAACATTACAACTTTATTTGGACATGTGGATTACTTTCTTTTGTACTTCTATTTATCCTGCTCACATGAATTATATACTCTCAGGTGCTGATGTTAATCAAATACACCTACTTAAAACTATTGCAGTCCAATCCAACAGTCATGCATACAGTTGTGGTTAAAAGCTTACTTACACTCATTATGGTCATTTTAGACTTTTAATAATTTCTTTGAATATACATACAGGCTTAAATATATACATGCAGTTATTTAAGTCTTTTTATGTGGTGCTGAAAGTTCTATGATGGTTTTTTTTTTAAGATTAGCTCGAGTACAGTGTGTAAAAAGCTTCATGGAATGGGTTTCCATGGCCGAGCAGCTGCATCCAAGCCTTGCATCATCAAGCACAATGCAAAGCATCGGATGCTGTGGTGTAAAGCAACTCACCCCACTAGCTACAACATGATCGCCCACCAGTGCACAAAGCAAGATCCATAAAAACATGGATGAATGAGTTTGGTGTGCGAGAACTTGAGTAGAAAAAGAACACCAATGGCATGAATTAGAGTGGAGACAGCATGCCAGGCTTTCTCATTCAATATTGTTCTGACCTCACAGATGCACTTTTGGAAGAATGGCCCAAAATTCCCAGAAACACATTCCTAAACCTTGTGGAAAACCTTCCCAGAAGAGTTGAAGGTGTTATAGGTGGGATGTCACTCAAGTTCATATGGATGTGAAGGCAGACAAGCAAATACTTTTAGCAATATAGTGTAGCTTGGAACTATTTCTAAACAACTGCAGTCATCACTTCAAACAACTCTACATTAAGTACAAGTTATCTTGATTTGTCACAACTTTGCCAAGGTCTGAAAGAAAAACCAAATAGTCAACTTCTGATGAGAAGAAATTGGTTAAAAACAACCCAGGAACCACCAAGGTGCAAGCCTTCCATGAGCTGGATACTGCTGGAACACCAGCTTCACTGTTCACAGTGACACAAGTCTGACATAATCATGGACTGCGAGTGTGCCGAGTAAGAAAGTAGCCCCTGCTCCAAAACCTTCAAGCTTGACTGAAATTTGCAGCCACCAACATGAAAAAGCCAAATGCTTTTTGGAGAAACATTTTATGTTCACATGATACAAAGATTAAGCTATCTGGCCACAACGACAAGAGCAAGAGTATTTGGAGGAGCAAAGGTGAGGCCTTCAGAGCTAAGAAAAATGTCCCAGCTGACCAACGTGGTGGTTGTAACATTATGCTCTGGATCTGTTTTGTTGCCAAGGGTTCTAGTACATATCACAAAACAGATGTAATAATGAATACGGAGGACTACTGCATCTCCTGTTGCTAGCAACAAGCATTATGGAAATGTCTTGAGCCTTGTGAGCAAAAAGATTCAGTGAAACAACCTGAACTGACCAAGGATGACATGGTAGTTTTGGGACCACAAGATCACTTCTATGATCTTCACCAAAATGTAATTCAAGTTGAACAGAGCGCTTTTTATATAATAGAAAAATCCAACATGAACAGGTTTTAAAGAGAGTAATCCAAAGGAAACAGGAGCTGGACGCAGTGCAGAGATAAATAGGGAGACAAATTCTTAAATAAGACAAGGTCTTAAATAATCAGGCCCCATCTTATCTTAATGACCTTCTAGTACCATATCACCC